GCCATTTAAATCGCTGTTGGAGCATCGTGCAATGCACTCCATGCGGCTTTGAGGGCTGTCTGCCCCAGTCCCATCCCTTCCACCGGAGCCCTGCCTCCTGGGAGCGAGGAGTCCCCCTGGTTCACCTGGGGTGAACCATTCATCCACAACATCACAAGCGCTGGAACTGGGGGGTGCTGTCCGCATCCTCTGGCGGGAAGTGGATTCCATTAGATCCAAGGTTCATAGTTTGGTTCAGTGGCTCCGTACAAATTGTTCCAGCCCCCTCGCATTACAAATAATGCCACTGCATACTCCTCCCCAGTAACCCTATGGGATCATTACCGTCTCCACGCCTCATATTTGGGCTGGTTATCAGTTTGGAAATAAGGTTAGTGGTAGTAGCATGAAGGAAAGGAGGTTGTCACACGTCGAACGGTGAGGCCCAAGGAGCACGGAGCCGTGGAATAAGAGGGAACTCTTGCTGGTCCTGAATTACCATATCAGGGTGGAATAATTACCTAAGAAGGGCTATAGCAGTGCAGGGTAAAACAAGGGGGATGGTTGAACTGGAGGAGAATGGAGCTGTACCTTGGCTAACGGGGGAGGAGTGGTTTACAGAGAGGCACAGGGCAAAGCCTCGGAACCAAATATCCCCGAACTTTGGGAGAGCTCCAGTCTGGAGTCCGGCTGCGTGTCTCGTGCTTTCCTCTTGCAGGGTTGATTTGTTTTCTTTATGTCCACGGGCGCCATTTTTGGAGAACGAGGGGTAGGGAGCGGGCAGCAGCCATGCGTGTCGGGACGCGGCTTGCTTTTCTTCCCATTCCCGTGACTACCAGAGAGTGAGGGGAAAGTACATGGCTTGCATGCATGCCTCTCCCTCCTAGCTGAGAAGTAATTCACGTCATCTGTGTCGTTTCTCCTCACTCCCTGATAGTCAGGGGAACAGGAAGAAAAGCAAGCAGCGTCCCCGTACGCATGGCTGCTGCTCTCCCAAAATGGCGCCCTTGTTTATGCTCCCTGAGTCTTGCTGGCTCTAGACGCAGAAGCACTGAAATATCATTAGGACTCTAGCAGTTGTTCCAGGAGGCATGATGCTGGTTCCTAAGCCACCTAGGATTCCCCGTGAGTAGCACCTTCAGGGTGTACAGATGAGATTCTGCAGCCTGGCTCCGTAAATGGGTAGATGTGCCCTGAGTTCTAGTGAGGGTCTGGAAAGCGTGGCCAGCAATGCATATCTCCAGCAGTTCATTCTGGGGCACTGATAGAGGGGCAAGCCATGACAAATATTTGCAATCCATGGCACTGAATGGTAAAAAACGGAGGAGGTTTCTCTATGGTGGAGTCGATTGAGGGCCTAATTGCTATGGTGTGCGCATATCTAGATAGAAAACAGAGGAAGTTGGCTTGCAGCTCTCCCGTTGTTTAGATGCGAAACGTGACAATAGAGCGCCTTTCTTGGCAGTGCTGTGGTTTGTGGTAAGGCCGCTTAGCGCGCTCAAGTCTGAGCTGTCAAGTCATTGTCTCTGAAATGCTGTTTGCTTGCTTGTTTTCCAGGCTGGTTGATGATCGCTGTGTGGTGGAACCGGCAGCTGGAGACCTGGATAATCCACCCAAGAAGTTCCGGGGTAAGAGTCTATGGCGGGGGAGCTGTTACTCATGGGTTCCTTATGAAGCTTACCCTTGGGGCTCGCTGCCTCCTGCTGGAGAATGTGGGCACTGCCTTGCACTCTTCTATGATAACCGTAGCGCAGGCATCAGTATCGCAGATCTGCCCCTCTGCCTCTGTGCCAATTGGCAGCCGAGCAGAGAGGCCGAGGGTGGACTGGTGTGTGGATCCTTAGCGCCTCTCTGAGGTGGAATAGCCTTTGTGCACCATTGTGGACTGACACCCTGCACCCTTGTAGCCTTACCGGCTTCTTAGACTCCTAGACTCTGCGGTCATAAAAACATCAGAACGGCCATGCTAGGTCAGACCAAAGATCCATCCAGCCCAGCATCCTGTTTGCCCACAGTGGCCAGCGCCAGGTGCCCCGAGGGATGAACAGACCCGGGAATCATCAAGTGATCCTTCCCTTGTCACCCATTCCCACCCTCTGACCAAGGCTAGGAACACTCCTCCTTACCCATCCCGGCTAACAGCCATTGACGGACCTAACCTCCATGGATGTATCTAGCTCTTTTTGGAACCCTGTTATAGCCTATTGAAGGCGACCATCATGATCATCTACTCTGCTCTCCTGAGCATTGCAGGCCCCAGAATCTCCTCCACTCACTCTGATAATAGACCTGGCTGAGATACTGACGTCCTCAAATCATGGACTTCACACCATTTAAACCTGCAAGCGATCCCTGCCCCGTGCTGCAGAGGAAGGAGAATCCCCTCCCAGGGTCTTTTCCTATCTGACCAAGGGGAAAATTCCTTCCTGCCCCCAAATACGGTGATCCGCCAGACCCTGCCCCACCAGCCAGACACCTGGGAAGAATGCTGTGTAGTAACTCAGAGCCCTCTCCATCTAGTGTACTGTCACCAGCCGTTGGCGAGATTGCTATTAGCAGTCGCAGATCGGCGGCATGCCATTGTAGGCAGACCCGTCACACCATCCCTTCCATGAACTTACCAAGCTCAGCTTCGAAGCCAGTTGCCCCCACTGCTCCACTTGGACGTTGTTCCAGAACCGTCTCTCCTCCCATGCTTAGAAACCTTCGCCCAATTTCAAGCCTAAACTTGTTGATGGCCAGTTTATATCTATGTATTTTGTGTCCACGTGGGCTCATAACTTCAATATCTCCTCTCCATCCTTGGTATTTACCCCTCTGCTGTATATAGAGAGAGTACTCATGCTTCCCCTCGGCCTGCTTTTGGATAAGCTACCCATGCCAAGCTTTTTGCACCTCCTCTTGTACCGTAGGTTTTCCATTCCTCGGATCATCCCTGTAGCCCTTCTCTGCGCTTGTTCCAGGCTCGGTTCATCTTTCTGAAACACGGGAGAGCAGAATCTTGCTCTTGATTCCTCCGGGGGCCACTGGCTTTAGGAGAGAGTGACTCTCACAATGCCTGAGCTTTGCTGTGAATGAAAAGGAGAATTTGTACCCCCCCCCCAGGGGCGGCGAGTATACGAGGCAAGGGGAGGCATTGCCTTCTGGCCCTGCCCTCACTCCACCCTCAGAATGCCCACTGTAGGCGTACTGGGGATGGAGTGTTGCTGCCTCCCACCCCCCAGTGCCCTTCCTCTCTGTGCTCTGAGCCAGCGAGGCTGGGGCCACACACCCTCCTCCCTACCCATGGTGGGGGCTGGCTTGGCTCCCATAGGGGCGAGGCCTGGGCAGAAGGGGCAGGGCTGGGGGCTTGTCTCCCCCAGCCCTATTTTCACCCAAGCCCTCCCCAGATCTGGTTGCTTCCTGGTGAGAGATTACGGTTTTCCTTTGTGGCACAATAGCACTGATCCAGGTCAGTGCCCCAATGTGTTAGGGGAGGCAGACCCGGCCTAAGGTGCTCGCAATGTGAATGGACCAGACGGACGGTGGAATGGGTATTAGCCCTGTTTTACAGCTGGGGAAGCGAAGCACAGATTTGCCCAGAGAAACTGAGGCAGAGCCAGGATTTGAATTCTGCCTTCACCACATTCTTCCTCTCTGAAGGCGTGCTCCTGGCTGTGCCTGCATTTGCGTATCCCGGCTGCTGGGGGAGCAGACACCTTGGGAGGAGGAAGGGAGGGACAGAGGGTGGATAGACAGCAGTGTGCCTCTGTGTCGTGGCAAGGCTTTCGGCACTAGGCATTAACCATGCCAGAGGCCTACTCTGCTTTGCCACACCTCTCCAGGAGAGATTAAGCCGCCCTTTCATGAGGCGGGCAGGATTTAGGGAGATGCATTAAGCCCCTATCCATTGTCGACAGTCACGCTGCCGCCGCCCCACCCCATCCTGGTGTGAGCCTCAGTCATTATTTCCCATTCTCCGCCGCTGCGGCGTTTCCCTTTGTGAGCTGGCTTTCTGGAGGCCTGATCCAAATGGAAAAGGTGATGAGTCAGGCAAGGGGCAGGGCGGCTCCCGGTTCGTGGGAAACGGGCTGGTGAAGCCAGAACTTTCCTGTCTCTTCCCTGAACACCTTCCATTTTCTAGCCCTTCTATGTCCGATTTGGCAAGGCCCCAAACACCCTCCGCTGCTAGCTCTTCTCAGGCTCGGGACTTGGTTCAAGTGTCGGGTCTCTTCCCTGGTTCTTCCAGGCCCCGAGCTTGTGAGCTGAGGAGAGCAACGGACGCTCTCTTCCGCTTCACTCCTTTGAGTTGAGGCTCCGCTGCTCTCCGTGGTGCCAGGAGAAGAGGTAAAGTCAGTGAGCAGCGATTCCCACCCGCGGGGGTCTGAGTTTGCCTCAGACCTAGCCCTCGAGCTCAGCCATGTTGCCCTTGAAGGAGTTCAGCTTTCCAGAGCTGCCTTCCCTCCCACACATGGCACAGAGGAAGGGAGAAGTGGACACTTTCTCTTGTCTTGTGGGTAGTGCCTGGGGCAGGGCCCTTTGTGCCAGGCGCTGGAGAGACACGGAGCAAAAATGAGAGGCCTTGCACTCAGTGCCAAAGCTTCCAATGTAAGAACAAAGCCAGAGACGACTGATGGAGGCAGACAGATTGATGGTAGAAGCACAGGGAGCAGCCAAAGCAGAGGCCACAGCACCCTCTGTGCAGCATGCTGGAGGCTCTGCAGCAGAGCAGAGGAGTTCGAAGGAGGACAGCGAGGAGGTCTTGTGGAAGCTTGCATTGGGCTGGAAGATGTGGTCCCATTACCACCTGTGTGTACCACACCTTGCACAGTGGGGCCTCAACTTAGTGGACACCTCCAGGTGCTACCGCAGTCTAAATGTTAAATAATAATTAACAGCACCATTCTCAAACATCGTGGCTACATCTAGACTGGCATGATTTTCCGGAAATGCTTTTAACGGAAAAGTTTTCCGTTAAAAGCATTTCCGAAGAGGAGCATCTTGATTGGCACAGAAGCTTTTCCGCAAAAGCACTTTTTGCGGAAAAGCGCCCGTGCCAATCTAGACGCGCTTTTGCGCAAAAATGCCCCGATCGCCATTTTAGCCATCGGGGCTTTTTTGCACGAAACATACTGTGCTGTCTACACTGGCCCTCTTGCGCAAATGATTTGCGCAAGAGGGCTTTTGCCCGAACAGGAGCAGCATAGTATTTCCGCAAGAACACTGACAATCTTAGGGTATGTCTACACTACCACCCTAGTTTGAACTAGGATGGTTAATGTAGGCAACCGAAGTTGCAAATGAAGCCTGGGATTTAAATATCCCGGGCTTCATTTGCATCTTGCCGGGCGCCACCATTTTAAAAGCCCCGGTAGTTCGGACTCCGTGCCTGTGGCTACACGCGGCACTAGGTAGTTCGGATTAGGCTCTCTAATCTGAACTACCGGTACACCTCGTAGCCGTGGGCACGGAGTCCGAACTAACGGACATTTAAAAATGGCGGCACCCGGCAATATGCAAATGAAGCCCGGGAAATTCAAATCCCTTTAAATCCCAGGCTTCATTTGCAACTTCGGTTGCCTACATTAACCACCCTAGTTTGAACTAGGGTGGTAGTGTAGACATACCCTTACATGAGATCGTCAGTGTTCTTGCGGAAATTCAAGCGGCCAGTGTAGACAGCTGGCAAGTTTTTCTGGAAAAGTAGCTGATTTTCCAGAAAAACTGGCCAGTCTAGACACAGCCCGTTAGTTTATCAAGACTAACCCTAACCGGAGCTGAAATCGCTGTACTTTCCCAGGGACCGACCTTTTGCCCCACCACAGAACCCAACGCCCATATTAACCTGTGGAGAACTAGAAGAATTCTTCCACCAACTCCGCCTGAAAGGATTATTTCACAACAGTGCTGACGCTCCTCACCATTACCACATCCCCACTGGCAGAAAGAAATCATCTGACTGAACTCCACAGAGTGGAGTAAGCCACAATCTGAGCATTACACTGATTACTTTCGGGAAGAAACTGTGAAGTCCTTAGCAAATATTGCATCCACCGCTGTCTCGCCACTGCCAGGAAGACAGCTGTACAGTCCCTGAAATCTAACCATCGGTGATCAGCCCTGCAGACAAAGGGGGCCATCATAGTCCTCAACATGATAACTACATGAATGAGGCCAGCCGACAACTCTCGGATACCCACTATTATGCAGAATTCAGAGACAACCCCACGTCTCAATTTAGCCAGAAATTTAAGGATGTGATCAAGTCCTTCCCCAAACAACTTCAAGATCTACAAACTCATCTCCTATTAAACCACCCCAGGGACCTTCTATCAAAGAATCATAGAACACTAGAACTGGAAGGGATCTCGAGGGGTCATCAAGTCCAGTCCCCTGCCCTCATGGCAGGGCCAAGCACGATCTATATCATCCCTGATAGATGTTGGTCTAACCTGCTCTTAAATATCTCCAGTGATGGAGATTCCACAACCCCCCTAGGCAATTTATTTCAGTGTTTAACCACCCTGACAGGCAGGAAGTTTTTCCCAATGTCCAACCTAAACCTCCCTTGCTGCAGTGTAAGCCCATTGCTTCTTGTCCTATCCTCAGAGGCCAAGGAGAACAATTTCCCTCCCTCCTCCTTATAACA